CAAGCTCCGGGCTGTCCTTAGGACGGGGAGACGTTTCCGCAGTCCCCCGCTCGTTCCGGTCTTCGACAGGGAGGACGGTGTCACGGCGGGGCGGGAGCCAGTTATGGATGCCTTCGCCGACTTCTTTGCGCGGCCCGAGCGAGCACGACCGGTTGCACGGCAGGGCCTTTACAACTCACAAAACAGCCCAAACCCACAGCGGCTCAGGGACGCAAGCGACATGCCAAGCATCGTGCAACTCTCCAGTGCCATTGCACGCCTCAAGCGCGGCAAGGCACCTGGCATCTCCAAGATACCAGCCGAGGTGTTGCAAAGCAGCCCGATCGCAAGCGCAAAGGCAATATGGCCGGTCATGGCAAAAGCCCTGACCAGGGACCCACTGCCCTTCCAGTGGAGAGGTGGGATGGCGACGGCTATCCCAAAGCCGGGCAAAGATGGGTCCCTGCCCCAAGGATACCGCTCGGTGATGCTTTTGGAGCCGTCCGCAAAAGCAGTGCAAACCGTCTTCCGGCCGTCCATTCAGGAGGCCTTTGTCGCCCTCCGCACCCCTCTTCATTACGGAGGGCTCTCCGGAGCGCCCATCACCCTGCCAGCCTCGTGCGCCAGAGCCCACCTGCAGTTTCTCAACACAAAGGGCCTATGTGGGGGCGCAGTTTTTATAGACTGTGCGTCCGCCTACTACAGCGTGGCACGCGAAATTCTCGCAGCACGGCCCGAGCAAATCCAAGATGACCAGTGGGTGCAGGCTCGCGCCGCCTTCTTCTTTACAGATGTGCCGAGCCAACTGGCCTTTATACGGGCACTCAGATCCCACACGGCGGCAGCCAAGCTTGCGGAAAATCCACTTTTGGCACACTTTCTTGCCAAGCAGCTGGATGGCACGTGGTTCGTCACCAGGACGGACAAGCAGGTCATCATGAAGGCCGAGAGTGGTACAGCCCCCGGATCACCGATCGCCGACATCCTTTTCGGGATTGTCTTCCAGCGCTTCCTCCGCGACATCAATGCCACGCTGGAAAAGGGGAATTACCGGGCCTTCGCGTCCTTTACGGGCGCCACACAGCCAGACCTGTCTGCGCCTACTTGGGCGGACGACGTGTGCGTTCTGTTTCAGACGGCTACTCCCGAGGCTGCCCCGGAGGCTGTGCAGGAGATCCTCTGCCATGTTGTGGCTGCAATGAGAGTCCAGGGACTTGAGGCGAATATGGGCCCCGGAAAGACCGAGGCAATGCTGGTGTTGCATGGAGAAGGCTCACGCCAAGTCCGCCGGGCCCTCTTCTGCACTGATAACCCAAGCGTCGCTTTCCAAGGGGCGCATGAGGCCATTGAGGTGCGCCTCACCTCTGAATACACCCACCTTGGTTGCACGCTCCGAGCAGATGGCAACGAATTCCCCTGCCTCCGCCACCGGGAACAACAGGCGATGCAGATTTACCGTCCGCTCAGGAAGCGCCTCCTGACGAACCCTTTCCTGACCGTCAGGGAAAAGACGGACTTGATCCGATCCCGGGTCTTGCCCTCTTTTTTGCACGGAGCGGGGATGCTAACCCTCCGCAACGCCAAGGACAAGGACAAGTTTGAGGACACGATCTTCAAAATCTATCGGGGATCCTTTAGGCCCATCCTCGGGGTCTCTTGCCAGGGCTACACTAACACCGAAATAGTGGCCGCACTCGGATATGCCACACCATCCGAGTTGCTCACCGTGGCAAGGGCACGAACCCTGGCGGAGCTCTTTAAGGCCAATCTGCAACCTGTGCTGCGCTGCCTCGAATCGACCGCCCTTTGGTGGCAAGAGGCCACCCAGGCAGCATGGCAGGTCGGCATTCTTAATGACCCATGTGCGGATGCGGAAGCGGCTGCCAGCAGTATTCAGCATGATCCCCGCATTGTCTCCAGATGCTGCCGGGCATACCTCCGCCGAGCCAGGGAGTCTCGTGTCTTCGACCACGACACTCTGGCTCCAAGGGAACCTCCGGACCCTGTCTTCGTATCCTCGGCCAACGGACCGGCCCTTCCATGGCAATGCGATCAATGTGGCAACGCATACGCTACCCGAAGACAGCTAGCGGTCCACCAGTCCCGACACCATGGCCGCAGACCGGCATCAGTCTGCAGTGCTTTCGGGACCTGCTGCCAAAGGTGCCTTAAAGAGTTCTGGAGCCTCAGGAGACTTACAGAACACCTGGCAAGGTCAGAGCCATGCTTGGCCGCTTATGCGGCATCTGATCTGCAGCCGGATGATCCGGCACCGACTAGCTGTGAATACGCATGGCAGCCTTTTGCCAAATGCGAGGGACCTCAGCCGTGGTGGTCGACTTTGAACCCCCCTCTCGAAACAGAGAGAACGGCTTGAGGGCCCCCTTTTCTTTCTCCGCTTTCATTTGAGGTATGCCCTGCAAGCGGCATTTTTCCTCTCCAGACTTGCAAGCGAATTTACCGCGCACTTTCGTCTAGGGTGTCCGCCAAAAAACCGTAAAGTCTTGGAATTGGGTTCAGAGTCAGAGGGTTTGGGTATTTGGGATTTACGGCTGTTACTTCTAAGTTTCGAGGTTTTTTGGGCCTATAGGGTTTTGATAAACGGTTTAGGGTTTAGGGTCATGGGTTTAGGTGGGGAGGGTTTTGATAAGATTATCGGGCAGACCATGCAAAGGCGGGTGTTTCAGGGCTAAACCCTAAACCCTAAACCCAAGGATATCCGGGCGTGGGTGGGGAGGTCTTCAGTGCAGGGCAAACAGTGAACCGGGCTACCGGAGGCCCGCGAGACCTAGGAAGACTGACACACTCCCCTAAGCCCTAAACCCTAAACCCCAAACCCGGGTTTAGGGTTTAGGGGTTTAGGGTTTAGGGTTTAGGGTTTGCAAACCCTAAACCCTAAACCCTATCCCCCAAACCCTAAACCCTAGACCCTTCCACTGGCGTCAAAAACTGCAAGGCCAAACTCCAAATCGAGAAGCTAGGGCACAGGTTTAGGGTGCATGGAGTCCTGGGCAACAAAGAGCCAGAGATCAAACCATTAATCCCCCAAGCCGCTGGCTCCTTTGTTTCTAAGACATCGGTTAGGGCTTGTCGGTTTTAGGGTTCGTTTGTAGGAGCTTTTTCAGATCATGCACAGGTCTCCAACTAAACCCTAAACCCTAAACCCTAAACCCTAGTCCCTAAACCCTAAACCCTAAACCCTAAACCCTCAACCCTATGCCCTATGCCCAAGCCCCATGACCAGTAAACCCTATAGCCTTAAACCCGAAACCCTAAACCCTAAAGCCCGAAGCCCAAGTGGCACAAATCCCAGGGTTCCCATCGATGCCAAGCAGTTCAACCAAATTGGGTGCCTTGCGAAGCAGGCCTCCTACCGTTGGTTTTGGGGCTTTCGGGTTTAGGGTTGGGTTTGGGGTTTACGGTTGTGGGGGTTTAAGGTTTAGTTTCGGGTTTTGGGGTTTGGGGTTAGGGCTTCGGGTTTGGGCTTTAGGCTTCCTGGTCGGCAACTTGGGATAGCATTTCATTTCCCCGGCCTTCGATTTCTAGAGGTATAAACCCTAAACTTCGGGGTACTTAGAAATAATGTTTAATCTTTGGCTACTATAAACTCTAAGAAGCAGCTAAAATGATAATTTTTGCCAGGGGTCTAAGTTCAGTATAGTACATCCTTAACCCTAAACCCTAAACCTTAAAAGCCCCAAACCTTACTGTAGGCTCACGGATTCCCATGCTCGGCTTGGGCAGCAAGCGCTGCCACTTCGCAGCATCGCCCCGTCCGAAGCCATCGGTGCCTAAGCCTTCATCTCCCCCAGTCCTGCCTTTGATGACATCGTGCCCTTCGAGTCCAAGTGGCTCATGGACGATGGGGCTTGTGGTGGAACCGATGGTGGGTACAATCATCCAGCAGTCCCTGGACTTGCTGGACTCCACCATGAAGCTGGTGTGGGGGCCCGAAGGTGTGAACGTCGAGAAAATGGCGGAGGAGGGTGAACCCTCCACTTCACAGCTTTTGTGGGGTCCAGGCCGAAAGAAGCCTAAACCCTAATGTAGTCCGATGCTCTTCTGAAGCCGTCAACACAACAGAACAACAAGACAGAGCCCCTAGAGGATCTTGACGGTAGAATTGCGATTTGATGCGTTAGGAGGGAGCCTCAGGAAAATTGGGACCCTCTAGATCGCAAAGGCCTCCTTAGACGTATCCTCTGATATGGATTCCAGCCGTTGTAGGAAGCCCTCATCCCTTGGATCCCTCCAAGGGGTCGCCTAAACCCTAAACCCTAAACCCTAAACATTAGACCCTAAACCCCAAACTCATGAGCTGAATCCTTAAAAAAACCCAGGAGCCAGACATCCTCTAGAACCTAAGCCCCGAACCCCTACACACGGAGCCCTCAAACGCTAAACCCTAAACCCTAGAACGCTAAAGCCTAAACCCTAAACCCTAAACTCTAAACCCAAACCCCAAACCTTAAACTGAAAGCCCTACACCCTAAACCCCAAGCCCCAAACCCTAAACCCCACGGTCCGAAATCCTTAGAAGCTCCGAAACTCCTCCACATTCCGCTCAAGAATTTGTCGAGTTTGGGCCTTGCGAAGACTGCGCCGTCGCTCAGCGCTGATGGAGGGTTTTTGGGTGACTCTCAATCTCCAGGGTTTAGGGTTTAGGGTTTAGGGTTTAGGGTTTGGGGTTTAGGGTTTAGGGTTTGCGCTGTGGTCGCTCGCGCTGTTTCACGGGGCA